AATTATTCTACAAGTAACACAACCTGAACAGTCAAATCAGCAATGAAGCAGAATGCTTGGAAGAGACTGGAATGTGGTATTAAAAACTTGGGGAAAAAATATTATTTTTCTTACAGCAATACCTATATTAAAGTCTTTATATTTTTCACACAGATTTAGCTCCAACACACACATATATAAATACATCCAATGAAATGGAAAAAAAAAATCTAAAGATGACAGTGGTAATTTATGACAATCTTTGTTTATCCTAAATATTTGTGCATGTGAATGCCTGCAAATAAGCACATCTACATCTGTTTACACATAGACATTACACTAGGGATTAGCTTTCTTACATCAAACTTACATTGGCCGACCAAAAGAACTCCCACAGCATTCTGAAACTGGTAAGCCAAGGAATCCATGTCAGTATAAACCAATTTAGGAGTCTCCCTAGCTGTCTGATAAGGATTTACCCCGTGCCTTCCCTGTCTTTATCCACTTCCTCCCTCTGATCCCTCTGATCTGACTTTCCCCCAAATACCCGTTTGTTGAGTTCATCACTTGTAATGCAAACCAGCGTTTCCCGCCCTTCTCCAGGCAGAGATGTGCAGTGCCCAGCTAAGTGCAGCACACCCACCTGAGCTTAAACACAGATTAATCTGACAGCAGCTGCATTACAAACACCTTACGAGAGACACCACCGAGAACCAGAACTTCACCCTGCCGGTACGTGTGGCTGCACTTGGGTATAAACCCACCCAGGGACACGACCTACAGCTGTTGAGATCTGCCACGGTGTGAGAACACACAGCACACAGAGCGAGCTCCCGCCAGGGCCTTCTGTGAAGTGTTATGGCATTTCTCAACAGAGAATACGCTTCCCATTTACGGCTTGAACTTTGGCCGATTTCTATTCCCAGGTGTGCTCCCAGTGGAGTCACTAACGCCGCAGTCTCCGCCTGTCCCGCTCCCTGGGCCGCGTTTGCTGAGCACACGCCCAGCAGACACACGTCAAGCACCACCTCCCAGCACCACATCCTGTCACTCTCCACAGACTCCTCTTCCCGATCTCCCGGCTTTGTGTTCCCCGGAGCTCGGGCGCGGCGTTCCCGAGAGAGCACCTGGCGTGTGCGGGCCTGCCCAGCTCAGCACTTGCATCCCCGCACTGAGAAGTTTTGGGGGGAAAAAACCGCGAGAATGTCTGCACAAGCGGGTACTGGGAAAAGGTTATTCCCCCAGAGGGTGGTCGGGCACTGAACGGGTTCCCGAGAGAAGCGGTCACAGCACCAAGCCCGACAGAGCTCGAGAAGCCCATGGGGTGACTCTCGGGGTGTGCTATGCAGGGCTAAGGGTTGGACTCGGTGCTCCCTGTGGGTACCTCCCAACTCGGCACGTTCTGCGGTCCTACGAAATGTTCCCTGCGGTGTCTCCTGCAGGACCCGACACACCCACCTCACCCGCCTCACCCGCACACACCGAGCCGCCCCGAGGGGCCCGGGCGCGCCCCGCCCTGCGCGGGCCCTCAGGGACAGGCCGCGTCACCGCCCTGCCCCGCCCGCTCCCCCGCCCGGCCCTGCCCGCACCCTCCGGCCCCTCGGCCCAGCGCTGCGGGCGGTCCCGGCGGTCCCGGAATTCCCGGCATTCCCGGCATTCCCGCTCACCGCAGCCCCGGCACATCCCGCGGAGCCGCCGCCGCCCCACGGGCACCGCAGCGCCGCGCACGCGCGGGGGGGCCGGCGGCTCGCGCAGGTGACGCCATCGCGCGACTCGCGCCGCCCCCGGGACACGGCGGGAGCGGGAACGGGAATGGGAATGGGGACGGGAGAGAAGCCGGGAGCGGGGATGGGAGCGGGGCTGGGCTGAACGTCCGCAGAGTCGCGTGGAAAAGACCTCTGGGATCGAGGGGTCCAGCCTCTGACCGATCGCCACCACGTCGGCCAGACCGCGGCACCGAGAGCCACGCTCAGCCTTGCCTTAAACACCTGCGGGGACGGTGACTCCACCTGGGCAGCCCCTTCCAGTGTCTGATCGCCCCGTCTGTGAAGAAATTCCTCCTGATGTCCAACACAAACGTCCCCTGGCGCAGCTCAGGGCTGTGTCCCGTTGTGCTGTCGCTGTTCCCTGTGGCAGAGCCCGACCCCGCCCGGCTGCAGCTGCTGTCGGGGCTGTAGAGAGCGATGAGTTCCCCCCGAGCCTCCGCACTGTTACCCCTCCTGTCACCCAACAAAAGTGCTCTGTAGAGTTGCTCGTTTGGGTTCTGTTTTTTTTTCTATTGTTGTTGTTATTTTTAAAGAAACATCCTGTAATATCTCGACTGACCGAAACAGGCTCAGTTTTCTGCGCCCTCATCAGACAGTGCTGCCTTGCTCGGGGTTCCCAGCGCCCCAGGGGACGTAGGACCACCTGTACTGTTCACTTTTTCCTACAATCTCTAATAAATGGCTATTTAAATGATGCTTAGTGGAGTCTGAGCCTCGGTGGGATCACCCCAGGCCAGCGGCTGCTGGTGCAAATCTGCAGGGAGGATGTGGGCGGTGGATGTGCGTGGCAAAGGGCAGTGCTCACTGACCTTTTCACAAAAAAACCCAATACCCATAAAGGACAACAAGCCACCGAGGAACATACATCCTAGAACATCCTCTGGGTCATCCACATCCTGATGTTGCAATGTTTAATTATTGATTTATTTTATTTTTTTACTTAATTTAAAGAGGAGAAAAGGAGTAGTACTTCCCCTTCCTGCCCACTTCTGTTCACACATAGACACACGTACTTCCCATGATAAAGGCACCCCTCTATTCCAGACAGGGATTGGGCTGGACTGGGAACCTTGCTGTATTTCCTGCAGGCCAAGCACCCCTTTCACCTAAGGTCAGCAAACATCTGTAGCCTCAGTGTGGGAATCTGAGTAGTGTTACTGTCAAGTGACAGTACAAACTGTGCTCTCCTGCTCGGTGGGATGAGGTACTTGAACATAATACAATTTCTGACACATAAGGAACTTCAGAGCTGTTGAGGTGGTCTTGTAAAAAAAAAAAAAAAGCACAACACTTAGGAAAAGTCAGAAACATAATGAAGAATTTCTCTTAAGCTTCTGCTGCCTCCAGTTGCCTTGATAGTTAAATAAATGTTTCCTGTCTGCATTGTAGTGGTACATCCCTTGCAATACCAACACCAAATGAGCAAGAATGTTTTGTACTTTCCCATTTGAATGCGACTGAGTAGTAGTCACTACACACAGACATTATGAAATACAGTAATTGTTGATTAGTGCTTAGAGCTACCTTTATTACATACAGAGCAGTGTAACAGGTCCTTTATTCCTTGGAGTTTGGCATAAACTGTGTAATGGAAAGGAGGGGCAGATCAGGCCATGTGCAGTGGTCAACTGTCAGTGGAAAGATCAGGATGAAAGCTGAATTTCTAAAGTACATGATAAAACAAGACACAGGTTAAGGCAATATCCTATTATAACAGCTAGTATAGATATTTTAGCAATTAAATGCTTCAGGGTGAAAAAAGCACCCTTATTTAGCTCTAAAACAGAAGCAACAAACTTCCAGTAAAACTAGAGAGCAATTCTCCAAATTTCTTTACATGTGAATGAGATAATCTGAGATAAAAGGAACAGGTTATCTGTGGAACAGAGGTAATGTTAGCAGGAAAGTGAGAGGTAGATAATTATCCCTCAGTGATATGGGAAAAGAATAGAGAAACAGGTAATTTCTAATCTCTAAAACATGGTAAAGAGAGGCAGAAGGGAGATTATAATACATCACAAAGAAAGTCAAATGCTACCTGGAATCCATTGGTTTTGCCTGTGTCCTTGAGCCCCTTTGCTCTTCTGGCACCATCATGGCAAGTGTTGTTGTGGCTCTTCCTGATGGCCTTAGCTGTGCTGCCTGCTCTCTCAGAGTGCTTTCAGTCAGGTTGCCAGGAGAGACACAAGGCATTGCTGTGGTATTTTGCAAGGAGAACAGTTACTTATCTGAGTGGGAAGGCCGTGTTTTCAGTGCTGTCCTCTGCTGCACACTTAGCTGCTAAAGTTCTGCCCGTGGACATCTGAAATGGGTGGTTTTTAGAGCAGTCCTGAATCGCAGTCTTTCTGCAGTAGTAAGGCTTTAATGGCAGTGGTGGGCTGTGTGTCGCCACAGTCCAGACTCCTGGAGCCATAAAATATGAGCAACACAGGGACTCTGTAGTGCAGCAATACACTATAACTCACTATCTAGTGAGTCATGGGTTTACATGAATGAAAAATGTCCAAGTTCATAGTATCCTACACTGTTGAAAACACAATATAGCGAGCAGTTCTATTGCTATTTTATTTAAGACTATGTTTTTCAAGCTTCTTGATATAAAGAGAAACTTTCTCTGCTGTAATAATGTCGTTCACATATAAAAATCAGTTATCCAAATTGTTTGTTCAGGAAAATATTTGATAAATTGCTAGTGTTGTTCTTTTATAAGTAATTACTTCTGTAACATTAAGGTTATATGAGTCCTTTTTACTGTGAGACAGTTTTCATGGAAATAAATTGTCCAGACAAACATACCTACCATACTTTATTTTTTATGAAGTACTGTAAACATCCCATACCATGTGAGACCTTTATTATGAAACCCACACTTAAATATACACAAAATATCTCAAATATAAGTGCTGAGATACCGATCGAGGCTTTTTTCCCCGCACCTGTCAAACATCTGATGCAGAAGATGATACTGGTTTTAATAAATAAAACTATGATAGGATGAAGGTGTCTAAGAAAGTTCTTCATTGCTGTATATATAGACATCAGCATCTTTCTACCCTTCCTTGGGTATTTGAATGACAGTGGGTTAATCCTTTGTTTTTTCACTCACTTGTAAACAGAACTATTTCTTCTGTTTGTAAACAGACTTTATTAAATAACAGTGTGCAACTACTGAATGGAAATAAGCTAATCTACATGAGGAATTACTACAGTATCATCATTTTATATTAGACATTAAGTTAGCAGACATCCTCCAGCTGGATATAAAAACCCTTTAATGATATATTGATCTGAATTCAATGCAAATAGTTAACATAGTGCATATCAATAATAGCATATCCCTAATTACTTCTCTATTATAGATGAAAAAGGAGCTGTAAAATGGATTTTTTTATTTATTTCAAGTAAATAATATACCACATTTTCCTGCAAGAATATTTGTAGACAAAGATGTAATTATTAAAAAACAAGGTTTCATATGTTAAGATAGAGAAAATACTCCTGAGTATTCACAATCACCCAAGTTTAAAAGCACTGCAAAGTTCTGTGTGCTTGATTTCATATTTCCATCAAGAATTGTACATTCTTTGCTTTAAACTTCTGCTTCTAGACATTTTACTGTGGCCTCAGGCTTAGTTTTAGACTCTTCTACTTTATTTCCATTATTCTGTGCGTCCTTCTCAGGTGTTTTGTCATTTAACTTTGCCTCTTTGAGAGCAACAGTTCCAACCATTTCTTTTTGCTGGTTCTTGTTTAAAAATGGGAAGGTTTTCTTGTACCTTTAAATGAAAGAAAAAAAAAAAAAAAGGATAGTAAAGCAGAAACATTGACATAGTTTGGTAGTACCACGCAAGGAATAAAGTGAAAAAGAGCTAAAATTAACTTATTCTGCCATGCTCATGCAAAAGTGTCACAGAGAATGATGGCATGCTAGATCTTTGTGCTTTTTTAAGCAGTGTGCTTTCTAAATAAATATTTTGGTGTTTGGTTGTTTTTTTGTTTTTTTGTGTTTTTTTTTCAAAATAGACAATACCTAGTCAGGATTTGTGGTACATAATGATAAAGCTGTCTGGGCTAAGATGTGAGAAATGCACACTTTTTGATGGGATTTAGTGATGCACTGTGTTGAAGATCTTCACACATGACAAATGAGCTCAATAATTATTTTTTTTCTGAGCACAATCACAGGGCAATCATAAAATCTTTCACCTTGAGTCTGACATGGGAAAAAAAAAAGAAGAATAAAACTGCATAAACAGGCTTGTAAATGAACAGATGCACAATTCAGTGTTGCTATTTTGGCACACTCGGAAATGTTTCACACTAGGCATGACTGACCAATCAAATATAGGCAATATTTGTCTTTGGTTCCTTTTCTAAAGCAGGGAATAGCAACAGCAACAACAAACTTATCTGTGTAGCCAACAGAGTTTAAGATTTTTTTCTTTGTGCTACGCTGTTATATTGTCATCATTAGTTCTCTGCTCTTTAGCTTTATATTTTAAATATTCACTGGTTGTACTCTAGGGGTTAACTCAGACTAAAATAGAAACCACCACCCCTCCCTCAACTTACTTTTTGATATAACAGACTGCTAGAACAACTGAAATAATGAAGAAGACGATTGCCAGGACAAGAAGTGCAGTGGGGATACCTGGAGATAAAAGTGATATAAACATATAATTTTATTTGTACTTCATGCTGAATTTCTAAAGGTTCATGAGCAGAAATCCCGATTCTTCTAAAAGCAGTATGAGAACATACACATCAACTCAAGAATAGAGTTACTAGGAATCTTAAAAGTTGAGTTACTCCTCCTCATTTTTTCAAGAGAGACTAAAACAGGTATTAAGGCAATCCCTGACAGATATTTTTGTCCAATCTGCTCATTGGAGTGTTTTTGCAACCTGCCTAGAGAACACATTCCTGGGATTAACTATCCTTGCAACTGGAATGCTTTCCTGACATTTAGTCCATTTCTCCATTGCTGTGTATCAGGGTTACTCACACCTCACACCTCGAGAGCACCTCCATATTTAGAGAACAACCATTCTCCTTAAAACCGTCTTTCCATTACTCTGAGCACACAGTGTTTGCTAAGGCTTTTTTAGAAATGTATTTGCCCCAAATTACATTAACCAGAATGAACTTTCACCCTTTCATATTAAAATATTATCAAAGAGTATAAAACCAGACCTTACTTCTACTTAAAAATTATTTTAAAATCCCCTGTCTTACAAGCTTTGCTTCTGCAAAACCATGACCCTCCTCTCCTGCCTCCAGGGTCATCAAAATGGATGCTGGAATAGCAACCAAAAATAGCAGTAAACAAGTTGACCACTAATTTGTAACTAACTCACTGTTCTGATTAAATAACTGCCTCATCAGGCCTTTACCTCCGAAGATGACAGGATCGTTCCTAAAGGCAGAACGGGCAGTGTGGTCGGGAGAGTCCCTGGTGGAGGATTCCTCTGGCAGTGCTGTGGTGCTCCCCTCTGTTGGTAGCGTTTCAGTGACACAAATGACACGGAATCTTCTGCTTTTCAGGAACTGCTCTGACTCGGTCACAGTGGGCACCGCTGTGATGTTCTCAGTCAAATCAGAGGCTGAATGTGGAGTTGAGTCTGTTGGTGCACTTGGTGATGAAGGAAATGTGGTTGTGGTTGGGTCTGGTTTACATGAATTAATCTGGACATCTGCAGGAGGGAAAGGAAATGCATGAACAGCTGTGTTGGGTGCTAGTTTTGTACTTACCGCACACACGTTTATTGAAATTGTCCCTCAGTCATTCCCTTCTGGAAATTATTATTTGTTCACAAAAGCCTTACCCAAATCAGCCATGGCCATTTGAAACATGGGGTTACAACCCAGATTATGCAGCTTTTATCATTACTCACATTAGTTAAACACTCTTTTGAGCAAGTGTAGCACTCATTTTTTGATTGCAAAGCAATGGCAAGATTCCCCATGGACAGTATGTAGAATAATACTGCATATAAACCCCAACAGTATAATCTTCTGCAGAGCAGGAGACTTAATTAATGCAGATTCGATGTTCAAAAATATTTCCGTGGTACTCTGTACATGCTCAAAACATAATGCATGCCCTGTTAATTGGAAAACTGATTTGATATCCTGGAAACAAAGGTAGCCCATGAAACTTTCAGGTAAATCAGGCACTAGCGTGAGATAATGAAGAGGCTTGATTTTAATGGGATGGGGGGCTAGGAAGACACAAACTTCAGGTTTGAAGAAAAAAAAGTAATTTTCAGAAATTAAGTCATTTAAATGAAGTGAATGTTGTCTATATAAAAATGTAGATGCAAGGGAAACTTTTTATACAAGTGGAAAAGCTGAATTCTGAATGAGGCTCACGTGAAAACGTGCAAATTCTTCTTTGCCAGTGAAGTTCTGTATTCTGTAAAGCTATAAAAATTTCACTAAGGTAACAACCCAATTACAACATAAATAACAGGGAAACGACGATTGCACTGTTGTCCCCGTGAATCCCCCTGGGAAGCCTGATGACGCAGTTACAGTCACCGAATGAAAAGATAAATGGCAGGACCTTTTTACTTTTTCCATTATGGTTTTCAAGAGCTTTTGGTGCTTTTTTTTTTTTTTTTTTTTTTTTTTTTTTTTTTTGGCACAAGAAAATTGACAGGATGAGTTTCTGACAAATATTTTGGGTAAGAAATGCCTAGAACAGGCAACAGTTTGGAAGTTAAGATAAAGAAATGCAGAATTATCCCAATGTTAAATATACATTACATTGTTCTCTAACCATTTGGGAAGCTTAACTTTCTTCACATACTCTAACAGTATTTTATATATATATATATATTTATTATTATTTTAAAATTAAAGCTAAGCAAAGCAAGTAATTTGAAACTACTTGCTACGTCTTTAACATGACTCAATTTACCCAACATTTCTGATGCAGAATAACAAATATTTCATGTACTGAAACACCATGTTGCATAGGAACAGAAGAAATAACAGTACCAATAGGGGCAGCTTCTTTTAGAGCATGTTGCCATAGCATGAATACATCAATGCATTCATCAATAAAAGCTCTGAACTGCAGAGAAAAACTAAGTTAGCCCAATCATGTAATTTTTAACTTTATAGGTCAGGTGGTAATTCAGTGTTTGATGGTGCTTTCCCTATTCAATGCTTCCTTATCAGCAAGGTAAGGAATTAACTTTTCCGCATCCTTCACACATAGGGTGATGCACATTAAAGAAAGCAGTTGGAGAATACCTTGGGATTGGGAATCTCAATTGGGATTCTAGTTGGGTTTATGGTCTCTTGGCTGTTCTCTCTTATAAATTGATTTAGTTTAATTTTCCTGTATCAAAAGACATTCAAGTTTTCCTGAAATATCCTATTCTTGGGATTTTTGCAAGAACAGACACCACACACAAAGATTCCATTCACTGTCTCTCAAACAAACCTGCCTAAATAATCAAAACATGTTAAGAGCATTGCATCAACATTACAGAATGGTAAATGCAACTCTCCTTCAAGAGCTTTCATGGCAGCCCCAAATTATTAATTTGGATTACCTGAACTGACCTTTTGTATTTCTTGGAAGCTTCTGAGCCAAATGCAGCTCGATAACATTTGAGGTTGGGAGAAAAGGGTCAACAAATTATAAGAACTCACTTACTTGTTATTATTTTTCGAAGCAGATATTAAAAATAAACTAACATAAGGCAAACCAAAACACAAGCAATGTAGCTGTCATGCTTCCATACCTGAGGAATTGAAGCAGTAGACATGAAATGTTTGGAGGTGGTCAGCGTTCCATCGCACCAGTCCAGTTTTGCCCTTACCACATTTGTTGTTGGGTGTTGTCCGAGGAATAACAACAAATCCATCTTTCACCCATCCAAAGCTACAATAAAAAGCATCAGTCCTGTTAGTATTGGACTTATCACCAGCCTCACAGATGTGTAAAGGTGTTCACTAAAGGCAATAAGCCACTAACTGATATACCTGCACGTTTGAAAGTCATGTTTCAAGGCATTTTCAACTTGGTCTTTACTTGCCAATTGTAGATTCAGTTGATCACATGCATTACTTGCTTCTGAGAAATTCACTTTCTTCTCAAGATAGAGTCCTACACCTGTGATCCTGCAAAGTGACTGAATGGAACCTGCAATTAACCCATAAAATATTCAAGGTTAGTATTTGGATATTAACATTTATTCCTCAGGAAGAATTTAGGATCACATTTAACTGAATTGAACATTTTTTAAAGTTTCTAGCTTGAGGATAGTAGAAAACTAATTTCTAGTATAAAAGACATATTTTAAGACAGAACATATTTTTTTATGCATTAGTCTAGAATTTCAAGAGGTTTGGTTGTTATTAGACTGAATGCATATACAGGCTTATTTCTTTCCTTTTTCTAGCAGTTGCCCCAAGGCACTGATTCTGTCATTACACCCTCCTTATCAAGATGATAAGGTATATAATATCAAAAGTATTACACATAGTTTTTCAGGGAGTTAATATAGCAATCATAAAACATAAAGATTTTATCATTCATGGTGTTCCTTATTCCTCCTAAACTCTTTTTTCTTTTTTTCCCTAGCTTGGCATGATGCTTCCACCCCCCAGCCACTGTCAAGCGTTCAGTTTACTGAACTTGGCAGGAAAAGAGGACACAGGATGGATTTATGACACTTTTCCAGGTAGTTCATCCAGCTTTTCAGATAGCCACAGCTGGCCCACTCTTTGTGACACCTGCACCAGCAAGTGCTTAGCTTAGGTTACACCTGCTCTGCTTTCTTAGCCTCTGTTTAAGCACATAGGACAGAATTCGGGAAGTGGCACAAACAAGGAAAAAGGATATTACTGTTTTGCCTCCATATCTCACTGGAAGCACATACTGGGAAAAAAAGAGTTTTTTTTTTTCTTTTTGAATTACAGGCAGTAATTGCCCTGCTAAATGAAACATTTCAGCTTTTCATTGCCAGCATGCCAGACAACCAACAGCCACAGGTGTTACTTCCTTGCTCAATATGCTCGTCAGAGTATGCTCCCCAGGTGTGTACAATAATGAACACTCCATAAAATCTGTGTTTCAGAACACAGGCAATCCAAAAACTTGCCAAAACAGGCTGAAAAATCCACCACATATGACTTCTTAGCAACAGAAGTTAAATTGAATTTTATGAATTAAAAGATAGAACTGGCAGCCAAACCACCCTCATGATGAGGTGACTAAGCTTGTGTGGAGTGCTAAAAGAAAGACAGGCTTTTAGCTCCTGTTCTCACTGCATGTGGTGGGTTTGGAAAGGGCTTCTAGAAAAAAGATGCATCTCTGCTGTCCTTATATTTTGTTTAATTGGACTTCAGTGTTTGGTAGAGCAATCATTGAACCAGGTGGATTTATCTCAGCAGAGATGGGAAGACACTCCAACAGTCCCCACAGCAAAACTGTGGCCACATCCAGCCCTGGGCTGAACATGAGGCAAGCCCAAACATGTGGCTCAGGGATGCAGAGAAGGCCTGTTGCTCAAGGAAGGGGTGTGTGAAATCTGCTCTATTCTATTCTATTCTATTCTATTCTATTCTATTCTATTCTATTCTATTCTATTCTATTCTATTCTATTCTATTCTATGTGTTTGAGGGTTAAGTTTTCTTGATTCCTTTTTGCTAAAGACAAGTCTCTTGAGAGCTATTTCTGGTACCCTGAGTCTCTGTCTCAGCTGCTGAGGCACATCCACAGTTCCTCTTTCTCAGTTTTTAATACCCTGCTCCTCCTCTGAGAGTTTATGCCTAGTTCTTTTCTTTTTTTACTTCTTTATGCTCTGACTTTACTCTTACTCTCATTGCTCACTTAGTCAATTATTTTCCTATCTTTAGATTTGAGCAACACAACTTTTAAAAAAATACAATGTTGAGAATGAAAGTTTTTAATGACCAACTTTACAAATTTCAAATAAAGCTGAGCAGCTGACAGAAAGGAATTCAATGAAATCTTAGAAAATTATCTAGGTATTTGTAAACTGCTACAGTCTTTAGTCACTCAGTTACAGGACAAATGTTTTTAATGTGAATTGCATGGAGGATACAAAGCATAATATAAAAAATCAGTACCAGAAAATGAGGTTGTAAGTGATAATAAAGGTGACTTTAGGATATGGGCCAAAGTTGTACCTTAAAATTTGCTAAGCCTTTTAAAACAAAATGGTGAAGTAAAAGATATGTCTTGTAAAAGTTATCAGATTCAGTCTAAATTCTGGATGGTCCCACAATATGAGGAAGAAATCCAGAAAGAGAACAGTAGCCTCTTCTAGTCTCTCCATCGCTTCTGAAATCACCTCTGAGCTCTGTTCGAAAGATGTCTGAGTTTGTGCAGGAGACAGATGAACTCTTCAGCAGCGCATTATCCTTTTCTGTCCACAGGCTACACAGAGCTGTACTTTGAGCTTTGCTGTGCTTAGTTAACCTACTAATACTGGGACATTCTCCTCAGCATTTGGGTCTGGGGTAGAAAGTCTATTTTACTGAGATAGGTGGGAAGACCTAGACAAAAGAATCTCACAGCAAGACAAAGTTGTCATACAATAGGAAGAAAATTGTTCAGTTTTTTATAAGCTATGGATATTGATTGGCTTTGTTGTATGTTAGTTTCCTTCTAGCTTTTTTTGGGGGGAAGCTGTTGTTTTTCTCTTTGCCTTGTGCCTAGCCTTCACTCTGATTTATTGGAAGGAGTTTCCTTTGGCTGCCCATGTCAGGGAGCGGCAGGAATGAGGCTGTTCCACAAGGAAAGAGCCAGAAGCAGAGGGCAGCACAGGCAGGGCAGTGCCCTCACTGACCACGGCACAGTCCCACAGCACCAACCAGGACCACGGTGACAGTGGCAGGTTCCACTGGCAGCCCCAGAGAGAGCAAGACCATGAGTCAGACATCCAGAAAGTCCACTTGGGAACAGCAGAAGATGGTGCTACCTATAACACGTGCCTGCAGTCCATCCTGGAGACAAGGCTACCTACAGCCCAAATCCAGAGTACACCTGGGAAGCCCAGTCAGTGAGTCACTGGAGCAGGACATAACATGATACAACACAGCTGGAAAACAGCTGGAGATCAGCCCTGAGCTGATCAAGCAGTGAGCAGAGGGTGCACGAGAAGGTACCCCAAGCGAGGGTACGGTCTCGGAGGGGAGCTGAGGGGCATCCAAACAGCTGCAAAGAACAACACTCAAGCTCTCCAATGAAATTCCTGTGTCATTTCAATAGGATTTGATGTGAGCATCTAATTCACTCAGTCCAGGCTTCCTTCAGAAGTCTTTCAGTAGGTGACAAAGTCAATTGTCTGCAATAGCTGTGTATGTTCTTTTACATAAGTAGAACAAGCATTTGCTCCTTGCAAATCACAGTGAAGCATCTGGAGACTTCTGATGTACACTGAATATCTGCAGATATCCAGCAGCTACTGCAGTCAGAATACATTGCATCAAGTTGATGATGGAATTTGAAAGAGAACGGGTTTCATGCATGTTTTGCTCTCTGAGGTTGTATAAAACTGTTTCTCTGGTATTTTATATAGTACAGGATAAAATTACATCTCCATGAATCTGATCTTTATCCTAAGTGCAATACCAAATTTTTTAAATATGCAGTTCTGTAGCATTTAGACAAAAATTCTTCAGCATTGACACAGCAATTAAATTAGACTAAAATTTAAATCATTATATATTAGTTTTCATTGCACTGTAGCCTCAAAACTCTGTGATTTCCTACGGCAGAAACACATTAGTACATGCACCCTTCCCCCCATTTTTGTAAATCTAGCTACCTTTTCCAAGGCTTTAAAAGGTGGAACTTTACATACCTGTTACAAAGTAATTTTGAGCCATGAACATCATAACCCAGATGAAAAACACTGCTGAGGTAACTCCAAAATTAGTTGCCATTGTCACCAACTTGAAAAATTCAGGAAATTGAAGAACTCAAGGTGTTTTTTTTCTCCTGTGCTCAGAAAGTTAAGGTACTGGATACTGTCAGACCTCTGCTGAGATGACTTCTGGAAAGCAACTTCAGCTGTCACTGCAGTGCTTCATAGAAAGAATGTCAGAGCAAATGCATTGACTGTGCCACTCACAGGCGAGGTCACTCACCGGACATCCCCAGTCACCCTTTACACTCCCTTTCATGTCGGGATTGTTGGAAAATTTAACTACTGCTGATTCAGAAAACAGGGCTGAGGAAGGGAGATAAGACTGTTGTGCTGCTAAGTCAGTAAACACTTCGAAAGAAGTTTTTCTTTTGCTATTTTTTCCTTTTTTTTTTTTTTTTACTGATTATTAGCTCATTATTCATGTTATCTATTCATCTGGTAAATAAATCAAATCTTCTATTGTATCACAGCATGCCAGGGTGGATTTTTCTTTTGTTTATTGCATCCACTCCCCACTATTTTATATGTCTTGATGGAGTAGTTTTACTGGTTTTTTTCCCTTAGAGTTCCAATGCACAAAGAATTTACCATAACGCAGAGGTAACTGAAACCTAGTTTTGAGCAGATTTGGAGATCCGCTACCGTCAATGAGATTCCATGTGGGACTGTAGGTACGGAGGTGGGAGCCAGTCCCATCACTGCTGCCTTATGAGAAGTTCCATTAAACAGTGATTTCCACAGACTGGTTCAAAACACAGCTCATCCTCACAGCTGTAACTTACAAAGCCTTCAGGAAGTCCTAGCAGAGAAATTATTTTTTGTTTCAGAGATTCCTACAGACATAGAGCAGGAAAGGGGTTCCAGGGATGAGCTGGTTCCTTTGCTGTCAGTCATATCAGCTCTATCTCTGTTATTCCTGACAGATGTTTGTCTAATCTGTTCTCAAAGACTTCCAGTGACAGGTTCCTGACATGTCCTCAAACGCTCTATATTGCAGTGCTCCACTGTCCTTTACTGTTCAAAGGTATTCCCTGCTCTAAACTGACTTAGTCATGCCCTGGTGTAAACGTATCACTTCTTTTCCTGCTGGCAGTGAACATGGAAAATAGTTTATTCCCTCACGTTTTGCAACTATCTTATGTATTTCAAGAGTTATGCCTCTGCTCCCATTTTTCTTTCAGCTCAGAAACCCCTGCTGGCTCACTCTGTGTGTCCATGTGAGGTCTTGACAGTGCCAAGCACTGATGAATAAATTGCTTTACCTGCTCATAGAGTTCAGAATTGTGTGAGCCTCTTTTATTTATTTATTTATTTATTTGCAATGGGATGGTTTTGTTCCATCATGTTCGATTTGTGACTCAGCAAACTTTTAGATGCCCTGTGTCCCCAGGCTGTTTTCAAAGTCCTGGAAACACAAATGTAACAGTAGCTACCTCTTTAAACTGTGGTTTGTATTGTAGAAAGTTCCCACAATATATTAAGGCCATATTCACTTTTAACTGGGCCCAGGCCCAGTCTCCTCTCATGTTACAGCAGCATGTAACATGATTATGATGTGATTTGGTGTTCTGTAACACAGACAGGCATCTACAGGGCCTAAGGAGAACAGGAGAATGCTGGGGGTTAGTGAAATAATGTCTCCATCAGCAATAAAGAAATGAAAATTGAGTTGGATTTGGGCTGTGGTTTGGAACTGAATGTTAGTAAAGCTCCTTGAGATCTCCAGACAAATTTCTTGCTCCAGTTTCTCTCACCTCCTTTCTTGTTCTGTACTTTGCCTCTACAAAGGCATGGCAATGGGAGATACTGTAATCAGACTTCACTCACTTGGAGCAGGTTGTAAGTGGATTCACTTGCATTTACAATGCAGGAGGAGAAAAGTAGACTGTGGCTGTAAAACACTGAGAACATTAAACAAAATCCTACCATCTCCACGCTTAACCTGAACTGCAAAGTATTTCCTACCATGAAAACTGATCAAGAGCTGGGGTTCTGACATTTTAAAATTGCATGCTAATTGTCCTGCCAAGTTTTAACACTTTGTGCCTACTGTGCTACCTAAGTTCCTTCAGTCAAACTCAGTCTATGCTCTTGATCTTTAGTAGGACTTTTTGCTGAAAAAATGAGATAAACACCTTTGCAAAACCAAACAAAAATATAAGCTGCTTCACACGGTCTTGTAAGAGCAAAACACAGATTAGGAGAGGGAGAAAAGAATTTTAGAGTGATGAAGTGAGACAGAAATAACTACTTTTTTGTCAGCTTCTTCCTTTTTGTATTTCAGCTGTTCTAAGACCGTGTGGAAGATCACTTATCTGGACTGTAACAGTACAAAAGGTCCTTAACCTTTTTCTGTGTCTTCATCATAATTAGTGTGGTGAAAAAGAACGCAGACTTATACAGAATGATTAATTAGTGTTTGACCTAAATACTTGTAGCAACTTACAAGAAAAATTCCCGGCCTCTCACGCCAGCACGTTTTAAAATGCTGATGAGGGTTGCAGAAACAAGAAACTTTTCATATGGGAGGACAGAATTAACTGTTTTCTACAATCATTTCCAAAGGAACCTTGAAACCTGAACAGCAGGAGAGGAAACATGTTTATGCAGAAAACACAAATGTCAGGGGCTTTCCATGGTAACTGTAATTCCTTTTGAGGTTGTTGCTGTCCAAGTTTTTCTCCCTGTCACTGATCATCAGAGATTCAGAAGCTGAGCACTGTCTCCTACCCACTGGACAGCTCTCCACAAAGCCCAGGCTGCCCCGACCTGCCAGGTCTAGCAGGACACAAAGCAAATAAAGAATCCTAACCTTGCGCTCCGAATCCTTTGGTTACAGATTCCCCTGTGGCTGTTGATGGTCAGTGACACGTGGCCTCTCCCTGAAGCAGGTGCTAAACTCTCTCCAGGATATTTCAGCTTCCTCTCTCCTCTTGGTTCTAGGGTGTGACAGGGACGACCTTGCTCACAAACACTCTCTCTACTGACACAGGAATTCTCTTGCTTCTTCTGTATAATTTTCCTGGAGAACTGGAAAACTAAGAACAAGATGCTTGGTACAGGTAACACGCTGCAGTGTGGACAAGGAGAATGTATTTTAGGAGAGCGCAGCCACCAATGTGCAGACAGAGCACAGGCAAAACCCAAATCCTTAAGGTGACAACACTGAGGACTTTGAAACCATACTTTTATTTCAAAACTCAAGTATGTGATACTATACAGTACAATACCAGCACACTTGTGCAAAATCTTACAATATTACAAATTTAAATATGATACACAAAAATAGTGCCCTTTTGAAATTCCTTTTACTAGAAACATTTGTGCTGTGCAGGAAAAACAATAAATGTGTCTTGTTAAAGCAGAAAAATAAATATTGCACCTCAAGAAAACTATTTCAGTGTTAATAGCATAAATAATAGTTCTATTTCTTGTTATCTGATGTGATCTTTGAACACAGGAGAGGTTGTTGGTTTTTTTTTCCAGATAAAGCAAACTAATATCCAACAAATAAAATGGCATTTAGAATAGTTTTTGAGCTTAATCTAGATTCCTATTAAAAAAGGTGTTTTTATTAAACTAACTGAAAAATATAAGCAAAACTATTTACTGTGCTGTTAGTCGTTGTGGTTTGTTATTTTTAGTGGACAGTTTGCTCAAAGTAGTTATAAAAAGAACAATTTTTTTAAAAAATAAATTTTATCCTAATTTTTGCACCCTCATTAAAATCTCTTGTCTCCTTCAGTAGATTCCCCACAAGAAGCGAAAACTTTGTGGTGAAATTACACTTGCCTTAGACATGCAAGTAGTTCAGTTCAAATCAGTACAAATGCTTGTGGGAATTGGCCCTGGAGCACTGATTCCCCAAAAATCCAGTGTGCTGAATTTAAGGAGAGGATGGAGACCTCGTTCACCCACTGACCAAAAAAGCTTTAACACGTGTAACATTAAGCAGTTTGAGAGTTCTGTTGATCTCAATATCTTTCTATGTGTACTTAAAATAAGTTGTTGGGCCCACATCAGTGCGGATGTAAAGAAAGGTCACTTAATTTGATTCTAGACACTGATAATTAATTTTTTTTCAGTGCAGCCCACCATGTCCACAATCACATAATCAAATATGCGCCATAATTTCTGGCATAGAGAATTCTTAATATTCAGAACTATTTCCCTTCAATTTTTAATGCCTTATTAAGCACGTCATTTGTAAAGAATATTAAGTTAAAGAAACTGATTTTAATAAAGAAGTATTCAAAGAACAACTGACAAGTTTGTTCAAATACTGAAAGTATGTGAAATATCACAGTAGTTCTTCACAGTCAGATATTCTAACTGAACCAAACAGATTCCATGTAATTTGCAAGAAACCTTCTTCTGTCTTATTCTTTACCAATTACAATTTTAGACCAAATGACACTTTCCCATTATCCTTTTTGAACTTCCTGAAGCACACTATTCCTCAATAATATATATTTTAAAACACAAAACCCCTCTCCCAGCTGCTTTTAGACTCTCTCATTCCCCACTGCCCCTAAAAACAAAGTGGCTGTGGTCTGCTTTTTTTATTTTTATTTTTTTTTAATTTTTCTTTTCTTTCTCTTTTCTATAAATGTCTCCTAAGAAACACATAGCTAAAGATGTAACAAACAAAAATTCACCAGCAGGATACTCGTTACTAGTGCCAAATATGTGAATTAAATTGCTGACTGAGTTAGGAACCTGTTTTCTTTGATAGTTAGCTTGAGGTTCAGTGTTTACACCCAAAGAAAACAGGACACTATTATCTGCATCTGAACTGAAGTTACAGTACTTCATAATACACTTATCCTTCAGTTGGTGAACAGACCCATTTCTGAGTCAGAAAATGCCAGAAGAATGCAAGGTAGGAGTGCAATCAAGTGTCACACTGATTTTGATATTGTGGCTGTAGCTATGGAAAGACAATCAGAGTTCCCCTTCAGTCAGAAGTGCTGTTCAGCAGGTACATAAGGTACAGCCTCAGTGACACACATTTTTGTCTCAGCCCTAGCAGGTAGGTTTTTTACAGATAATGGCTTCAGCATTTTGAAATTGCTTATCTAAGAATTTCAGGCTTTCATATTCTTGTGTAAGAACTCACAACTCCCAAATAGGCAGAACTGCAAAAGGTGAATCTCTCATCACCTGGCAGTTGAGCTTTGGAAGTGTATCAGATCATCTGTATATCTGGCATCAGGTTCTGAAAATGAACTACTAAAAATATACAGTGAGCTTTCTGAACTCCTCACCGCTTCCCTGTCCTGATTCCCGCAGGCACTGGTTGGGTTCTGGCTGTTGCAGAACTGTGTTCCTGCTGCACATCTCAAACAAGATCTGTTTCCAGTATTAGTAGTGGGGCTAATAGTAAGGTTTAGTGAATTAGTAATAGTTCACTAAGTGTGATCACCTGTATACAGAGGTTTGAAGAGTTTTTGTTTTCTTTGTTTCTTTGTTAATAAAGAATTCCCATGTCCAAAGCTGCTGTATTTTGGGCTTGGGCAGCTCATCTAACCTTCCAGACAGCAACTACTTTCTGCTGTAACCAGTACTGACTCTGAGTGTCACACAGAACTTTCTGCAAAGCACGTCCCTTTGATATACCAGAAGTTCCCAGATTTATTTGATGATGTCACATAGACCCCATTTTAGGTTCTGTTGAGTATCTCATTTTAAAAGAAGTGGTGGTCCCGTTCTTAAAGTATATCATAAAACACATTTATGCATGTACTTAACATTCCATTTAAATAATCATACAGATAATTCCTCTAAAAATTACCCCATCAGCAAGGCATTTGGTCTAATAATATAATTAGATTCTTCCATAGAAAAACTTCTATTTCTACCCAATAATCATGAATAAGGAAATTAATTAGACTCTTAAAACCCAAAGGACTTAAATGCAATTAGTACTTCAACAATCAGCAATAAATTCAGGAAATGCCAAGTAAAGCACTAACTGCAAATGCAGGTTTTATGATTTTCTTCAAAACACCAATGTCATGTGCAAATCACTCTTTTAAATATCTTGCTGGTTGCTCAGCAGTGCCACAACCTTATCACGATTCCACATTCCTTTATTTGTCTCAGTCAGTTACAATAAGAGGACAGACAGGATTACTCATCAGATTGTCATCTCGGCAAGATGTGTTCACCCTGCAGCCCCAGGCCTGGAGGTGTGGAGGAACTCACTTGTCCAACAGCTCACGTGTGACAGCCGCAGGGGTGACGAAGCACTACCTTTAACAACAGTGGGCTAATGCGCAAACCTGCTCAGGTACCACAAAGGCGGGGTTGTTCCTTTATTATTCGGTGCGTTGCTCGTGTCGAAACCCTGAGTTCCACCAGGAATACTGGTGGGCAGCAGAGCAGCTGGCCTTCCCTTCAGCTCCCTCGGACTTCTCATCGCAGGAGTTGTAGGAATGGTAGATTCCCAACACCACGGCAAAAATGATGATTGCAGCCACTACGAGCCAAACCACGTTCCAGTGTTTGCACAGTTTGGGGTACAGTATATATAAATAGTTAATGATGACTTCAAGTCTGCTGTAAAATTAAAAGAAAACTGTTATATATGCAAATTTATTATCCCAAGCTTTTCATTTGAGAGGTTTCATAGCTATATGGTGCATCGTCTTTTTTCCCAACACAACACCTTGTCAGAGAAGAAACAGCCTGCAAAGTTCTCCTACGGAGAGCTGTACACTCAGATATTCCAACTCAAACACTTCTATGACACGAGTAATATTTGCAGGACTGTAAACTTGACTTCTATTTCTCCCACCTGTCAACTGGCAAATCTCAGAGTATGATGTAAAATCCTGCACTGTTCATCCCTTGATCAACTAAACTAGACATTAGAACATGTCATAAACATTTCTTCCTATCAGTGTCCTGGCTATTGAGATGGCTGCCCTGTGAACACAGCTGAAGTCTCAAATCAACAGATGTTTATAATCACAATGCTTATGGAGTGGAAATGAATTCCTCTGGATCAAGTAAGGTTCCCTGCCTTAGCTTGGTATTGGACATTCTACTTCCTTTGGCCAGCATTCCAGTCTCCTCTAGCTCAAAAGACTCGTTTCTTTCCAAAGGCAGGAAAGGGCAGGAGTATTGAACTGGGTGGTAAAGCCACTGAGGAGACTCAATAATGAACTGCAAGAAAAATGGAACATTTCAGGTGTGTTTTCCAGTCAGGCACCAAATGCTTCGGGGAAGACAAGAAGCGGATGATTCAGAAGTCCCCAGTAGAGACAGAGAGCACTGGGTCCAGAAGGGTGCAGAGAATATGTCACTGCAGTGACAGGCAGGGACTCCAGCACGGTGCTGTCCTGCTGCACCCCCCCAGCTCCCAGAGGGGGCACCTGCCTGCTCAGGTCGAGCCCAGCACAGCTGAGGAGCTTGTCTTACTCTGCATTCAGCTTGTAGATGACCCTTTGGGAATGACAGACAGCACAAATTTGGGCACCAGATTCCTGAATTACAACCTCCATGACACAATGCATATCTTCAGAGAGATAAAGTCCAGCATTTAAAGAACTTTTCTGGAACTTTTTTTCTACCCCAAATCAGAACCAAACCCCATTAACATGAAGCATCTTGGTGTCAACATACAATTTTAGCTGAAATAGTAATACAAAAAGTTTTGCATTTTGCAACTACATTGTCTTGGAAAGTGCCTTTCTGTCAAAATACTGTAATTTCAAATATGCTTCCCTAGACTGGAGGAAAACACGTCAAGGTGATAGTCTAAAACACTTGGTTGGGTACCACAAATAGAAAAGAGTGGTCCCTTTTGTATGGACATATTACACCACTGTCTCACCTGCTTTTCAGGTTTTTAATCTCATCTTCATTTTCACTTTCTTCGTGTTCATCATGACTTTCTTTGGGTGTCTCTTCATCTTCTTCCTTCAGTTCTTGAAGTTCTTTGGTTTTCTTTAAGCCTTCCTGATAGCTTTAACCCACAAAACATTTCTTTCTTAGTCTAGTATGCTATATAAACCTAATTTATTTAATGAAAAATTAACTTTATGTTTTGTTACATGCAATAAAACAGAAGTAGCAGTGTTGCAGCCCTTGGACAAGAGTAAAAATTAGCTGAAGACCATGATTACAGCACACAGAAACAGCCTTAAAAGAGGATTATATAAGGGCTGATATGAAATTTATCATTTTGAACAAGAAAAAGAGGTTAAAGTCCTCAACAGAGAAAAACTTTCGTCCACTGTAAATGAGTTGGTAAATATTTCTCTATTATTTGTCAGTAATTTTGAACACCCTGCAGATATTTCTTTTCTCCTGGAGAACGAATCAATGCTGAAGATAGATGGCATGCTGAATTCTGCAGGAGGGGGTCAAAATCTTTGTCTCGCTCTTCACATAGTACAGAGTTCTTTGCTTGGCATACAGAAACAGATCCCAAAGTTGTTTAACTGCCCCAAAACATGCTGTGTAAAGCACTTTGAGACACAAACAATATGACTACTGCAACAGTTGATATTTACTCTTTAGTCATTTCCATGTAACCTTTTCAAAATGAACATTTCATAAGGCTGTTTTTGGATTATTCTGTCATGAAGCTGAGCACTGTTGACATAAGAACACCCACCCAGCTCAGAATCTCTGCTATAACTGCTCTCCCACAGTTTGCCTTTCACTAATAAAGGATGAAAATCAAGACATACCAAGCAAATACGAGTGAAGCTCACTCATGTTGTTTTCCACATTCTTCCAATCATTACTATCTTCTAGGAGCACCTTTTAATTATGCCACTCATTTAAAAATTGCATTTAAAAATAAATTTTAAAAACATATGTATTGATCTGGTAGCACATATTTACAGGTTTAGTTCACAGAAAATATTCCCACCCTTTGTTATATGCTTCCTCTTCTATCTTGGCTTTAGTTTCAGGGCTGATCTCTTCCAACCCACTCTGTGACAGCACAGATGGGGAGGTTTCACAGTCAGGTTCCCCATTAGACTTTCCACTGCCAAGACAAAAGAAAAAGACAAACAGAAAATACTGTCACTGAAATTTGTTGTATTTGGAGTACACTACAATTTTGTGACTCATCATTTGTGTTTTTTTATGTACATCCAAGAAATGAAAAGTCTTTCAAAAGAAAAAATACACATCAAGAAAAATATTCATTTCAAAACATTGTAATTTAAGAACAGTGATTATGTTTCTAAGCTAATATGACTTGCATTTTGCTTCTTGTTTAAAAAAAATGAAAAAAAACCCCTGCATTTGTTTCCTGGCTCGTCCGTGGGATTTATTTGCTCTTCTTGAAAACATTTCCATCAATTTTTTAAAAATCGTCTTAGAAATTGTGACCTGCTACACAAGGGGAAAATAACAGAAATAATATCAAATACCAGTTTAACAAAACATTGGTTTTATTTGCCTTTTAGGTACTCCCCCCTGCTGACTTCATATGCTGAACTGATGCAAAAGTGAAAAAAACCACAAACACATACAATGCTTTAGTCACTAAAACTTTCCTTAAGTAAAAGCTTTGAGCATTCAGGCTAAAGTTAAGCCATTTTATATTGCTCTCTTCCTGCAGTGTTCTCCTCTCCTTATTTATTTGATCTGGGACAAGGAGTTTAAGTGATTGAGACGTAACAGCAAATCTATCCAAGTCAAGGTTTAATAAACTCACCAGTGGAACCCATTTCAACTTCCAACTTTTTTGTAGGCCTTATTTTTCAGGCACTAAAATTGACACCATCTGTGGGTAATGGATTTTCTCTCAAGAAGTCATATTAACAGGAGACATTATTTTCACTTGGACTTTAAACAACTAATGATTATAAGCCTGAAGTGTTTAAAAATACAAAACTGTGCTGGACTATGGAATTTTACTCTACTATAGCAGCTGGCCCATGCACACATACTTATCCTCAAACTTGAATTTTGAGTTCTACCTCTGTCACTTGTTTTGTTTTCTTAAGATCCAGTGAGAAATATTGATAAGCTTTTTTGGTTGTTGCTTTTTCTCCCACACTTTCTGTATGGTCTCAAAGATGGTCAAAGATCTTGCAGAGTTCCTTTGAATTGTAACAACTAGTGCTGCAGTTCACTGGTTTTGTTTTCCCAATTGTTGTATGTTTACATTCTTAGTAAAGCACAGAGATTAAAAAAAGACATAAGATAAATTTTGTCCTGCCTCAGCACTAATCTGAAGTACATGAAATTTAATATTCTGTACTGCTGTGAGATCTACACATGTCAAAGGTTTTGATTTGCATGCTGCAAGCATCCTAAAAACTCTTTAATTTAAATCAGTATTTCTGATATTTTATTGTGACACCATGAACAGTTTGAATGTCCAAAGTAGTAGTAGTAACAATCACAACAAAAATCAGTGTGATGTTTTAGTTAAGTTTATTTCTGGCACACTAGCAAGCAACTTCCTTAGAAACATCCTTGGAAAAGGGCCTGACAACTTCTGATTTTTGCTTTCTAGGCTGATTGTACTTACAAATAAAGTACATGCACACGAGTGTGCAAATGCAGCAGTGCCTGTGTCCATAATGGTAGCTATTTACAGGCAAGGGCAGAACACAAACTTCTATCACTGGGATAGTCAAATTAAGGAGTATTCATACCCTGGGTTGTTCATGGCCAACTTTAAATGCAGCATTAATTTCTTCCAGGAAATACATGGATAAAAAAGTCATGCGCTGTTTGTAATACTCTTAGTTTTCTCAAGCTTTGAAGATGTAAAATCTGATGCATTATTTACTTGATGAGTTCTAATTATCACAGCAGGCTCGGTTTAGTTCTGAGGTACTGCTGGTAAACTCCTTGACCGTGAAAAGAAAAATATGATGGTGCCATGGTAAAACACAGTTACGAGATCATGAATCAACCCAAGCCAACATTGTGTCACTGATTACAATACCTCCTTCCTTGGTTTAGGAACGACAGAAATGATCCAATTATCACTTCATATTTGGATTTAATAGGTAAGGAGATGACCTAGACAACTCACTTTTCTAGAAGTGCTGGCAGAGCAGGACTAGATGTTAGGCTGCTCCTTCCATTACTAGGCGATTCAGACTGTAAGTAAAACACAGTAACAAATGTTATATCCATTAATTAATTTCAAATGAGTGTTCAGTAAAATGACAATATGCTGCTTAGGTTTTCTTCCACACTCACGAGCAAAGTATCTTTAATATGAAGGTTCCACATTTACCACAGTAAACAGGGGACTTGCACACTAAGAATCTTCTCTGAAATACATTGATCACTAAATAATATCTTTATTGTATCTCTCCTATTATCTGAAAAACATTAATAGCTGACTTTTCAAAGGGAAATTTTAAGCAAAACCGAATCATAATAAACCATGGCAAACAAACACACTTAGTTCCTGAAACAATTGACTCTGAGGACATAATAACTAAACTGCATAAACAGATGCTTTTCTTAAAACTAAAATGGACTTAGCTTCTCAGCAAACCCCCTCATTTAAAGAAATCTACATTTTTAACATTTTTAACTGCATAACTTTCAGGTTATGTTCCATCATAGCTCCTCTCTGAACAGTTAGTATGCCTTGCAGTTTTCCTCCAAAGCATTTGTATGGATTTATTATGTTCAGATTAGGTTATCATTTGATTTAATAAAGTTGTATAAGCAAACAGCCAACACAGAGGCTGATGATTTCACTAATCCCAGATCATCACAGAACCTCTAAATTTGTACCACATACATTTCTGTACATTAATTGCATATGTTTCTATTCAGTGTTCTATGGTTTCTAGTTAAAATTCCTCTCCTACACTGTGCATCTGCTTTCACAACTTCTCTCCTGTATGCTGCTACAGGTGAAAAGGCAAATTGCCTCACTAATGTCCAATGCCACTGAATCAGCAGCCCTCCCTCTTCAGCAGATTCTAAAGTGATCATTTATGGAAGTAGATTCTGAAGGCACATGTCCCTTCCAAATAGGAATTGCCACTTTCACTAGGATGGAGTCAAAACAAGTTAAACCAATGAAAGGGCTTCCATTTTTTAGTAACTGTGGCCTGGTCATATGTAAAAGTAGTTTAGACAAAAAAATATTAACTTTAAAATGTGGGGTTTACTTACCAGGGATGGCATTGAAGGTATAGGTGAAGCTGTTGGTGACTGACCAGGAATGTTCAAGGAGTTAAACTTAGGAACAACTGCAACACTGACTCTCCTCCGAGGCATATTCTGTGAGGAACAACAATTTATTTCTTTTTCTATCATACAGCAAGACACACTGAAGAACAATTCTACAGGTTAACAGGAGTGGAAAAGATGTAGGTTAATGTCTTGTGGGGAAAAGGAGAGTTGGGAGGAATATTAAGATAAATGGATGCTAAGCTATGGTTTTCCCCAGGAATTCCTCTCATATGGTCTGCTGTGGCAAGTGCTTAGTGTGGAGTGAGTGTGCTACAGGGATGCTGCTCCTTTCCCTCCACATTGAGAGCCCAGTAAAGTCACAGAACAGATGTGGTCTGAGCTGATACTGTCAGCTCTAATTATATGCTATTATCTTTCAATAAATTGGATGTATAATGATACTGGGGAAAGTGAGAGTGCCACAATGACTGGCAAATAATGAAGGTGCACATGAAACTCTTATCTTGCCACGTACCCATTCTGATATCCTGTACCCACTATGATATATTGGATATATTGGTTACATCTTACACTGATTACAACTTACAGAACCCACAGCACCCATTCCTTCCACAGGAACGTCCTGTGAACATTCCCCTCTCCCCCACCCTTGAGTTGTTAGACACCATCATGTGACGTTGCTCACATTTCCCACGGATCATAAGCATTCTTTATGTGACAAACACATGCACAAATACATGCTGTACACAATATATTCCAGCTCAAATACAGATCACATAAGTTTCAGCTGTAATTTGGTAAGTAGTCAAATGTTTCACCCTATAAAAATCTATGTAAAATCTGTGCTTCCAGCTGAGTAAAACCATCAAAACACAGCTTTGTCTCAGTGCAAATCCAAACACCTCTGGTCTAGACAACTTTACAGGAAGGGAGTTAAACACAGATTTAGTGCATACATAGGAGGAGTCACCTACTCCATGATCCTGATCCTAATCCAACTGTACCTATTAATTAATGACAATTTTATTTAATTTACTGCCGCAAAACCACAGCGGGGAGTCTTCAGCCATCTTAGGCAGTCCATTTTAGTGTTTTGGGGTTTTCTCTCCCCTCTTTATTACTTGGACTTGTCATTCTTAAATTTAATCTTTTTTTGAGACCTCTGTTTCAACTTATCTGGTTCTCATTCTGAAATCCAGTGTTGCCCTTAGCAGGCTCTGTGCTCTAATTCTTTATATTCACCACTCAGAGGTGGCAGGAATAAACTAAATCTAAAGAACAACAACCTAAACAAATAAAAATATGAAAATAAACAGTAGACTGAATATAGTGTCTCTGACCACCAAATTTCATAATGGCCAGACTGGGATTCGTGTCTCTCAAAACACTGGTTGTTTTAGCAAGTTTTGTAATAAACTTTATCTCCAACACTTGGAATGTTTGCAGAAATGAAACACTGGACATGTTGAAGCTATTAATGGGTCAAGCAAAATCAATCTGGGACCGTCTCTCACTCTGTCAATACTTCGATGCTAACTGAAAAATGAGCAACACTTAAAAAATAACTGCTCCTACCTAAGGTGCTCTGACCACGATGAAATTCTTAAGATAATGAAAATGTTATTTGTGGGAAAACGAGCAGGTGTTCAGCAGTTATGGCCATGGAATCCTGAATCATATGCTAAGTTTTGATCCAGTGTTCAGTTTCCTCACTGAGGAACTAGAACAGAGCACAGGAACTGAGCCATTCTTTGGAGCACAGGTATGTGACCTGGATTATAATTATTCTTAAATAAATAGGACCTTTATATTTTCACATCAAGCATGATTGTGATTGCACAAGATCATACTTAATCCTGTATCCAAAGGTGCAAAGCACATGTGCTAAATTACACAGCCTATAAAAGTGTCCATAGACAACGACATTTCACTACACAAAATGTTCATTTTTTTAAAATACTGTAGAATTACCTTTCCAACAGTAAGAGACATGGATCTCGATGAACGAGGCACTCCATCTTCTGCATAGAAAAAAGATAAAAACCAGCCTTAGACTATATGAGCATCTATAAATATGAATAGAGCCTTTGCTTGTATTTCAAACTCAGATGCAGTATATTTATACAAAGTCTGTAGTGACCACACATTTATCTATTATACAGTTCTGATCTCAGCTTCACCTGCAGAAGTCATTTGAAATAATTGCGAAAATCAAACCATTAGTAACTTTACTGACATCAGGTAAAGGGCCACTCTTTGCCTCCATATACAGATACTTGTGAAATGAAATACATTTCAGTTTCCAGCACAGGAAATAAAAGGTTGCAAAAAAAAAAAAAAGTTTTGAATAATGAAATTTTGCCATCAACCATCTCCTAAAAGGTACTTGCATTAAAATTCCACAGGTTATGTGCATGTGAAAGACACCAATGAAATGTCATTGAATCCCGTCAGAATTTGGGAAGTGAAAGTGATTTCATATTACTGTACTATAGCATCAAGTATGGTTCATATAAAACATTTTAACTTATTTCTACAGTTTTTTTAAATCTACTCTTGCAGATCAAAACTTCATGAATAGGTTTCATGGTATTTCACTTTAAACAGTAACACCACCGACATCTCCCTGTAGAGAGGCAAGACAAGCCCTTTTATTTTATTTTATTTTTTTTTACCAGATGCACCATAGCTTCTGCTGGAATTCTGATTGGCAAGTTTCTTGAACTCCATTAGTTCAGCATGATCCTTTTCATATGTTCTTTTCAGATTTTCCACATACTGCATCATTACTTCTGTTGCTTTTGACATGCGTTTCTCCTAAGGAGGAAAAGGAGGAAATGCCCAGTTAAACTCTATGTGCCTCCAACAAATCACTTGCCTTTATATCTGTGCTCCCTGTCAGGGCTAAATCTGGAATAGCTGTTCTTTAAGAAATACTGGTACCTCCACGTCTGAAAATTCCTAAGCTAGTTAGAAGACAAATGCACCTGCATTCATACATATTTCAGAGAATATCATAATTTATGTTGTCAGGTATTTATACAGCCTGCCTGTGTGCCCTTCTGATTAGTTATGTGGCACACCACACTGGTTTTCAAGCCCTCAAGGGCCTTAGTCACTGGCATCAGTCTGGTTGCTTAAAAAGGGAACATTCTTGAATCTGGGAGGGCATTGCTGTGTCCTCATTTATACCTGCTCTGTTCTTATACTCTTTATAGTTGTCTGACTGAACAAAGGCTGGTGACTGAACTAGATGATCTTTTGGACCCAGGAAAGTTTTTTACTAGTGCAGGACTGATTTGCAGTAAGCTTCATGTGATGCAGCTGTAGTTCTGGATAATGTATATGTTCCTATTGTACACATGTCGAATAGCTCAATGGGTAACCTTTTTCTGTTTGCATTTTATTTCCAGACTGCAATAGACATCTTTAATCTGTCAAAATGGCGAAGAAAGCTCAAAGGGCGAGTGTATCCTCTAGCTACGGCTGAAAAACAGAGAGGGAGGGAACAAGTGCAGGCAGGACACAAGTTTAACACCAGGATGTTCCTACCTGGCGAACGGCTCCCACCATCTCGGCGCGACTCGACAGCCTGGCAGCCAAACGCCGCAGGACAGCGATGTCCTCCAGCAGCTTCTGGTAGGCTTCCCTGTGCTCATAGTGGTGCCACAGGTGAGCTGAGGACTGGAGGGGAAATACATAAGATTTATCATCACGTCTTGCCACTTCTGGTTTTCAAATGAAGTAGCCAGAGCCACAGAAAAGGGTAAAAATGTCTAGGCAGAACCACCCATGGACAGAGCGGCCCCAGAGTGGCCCCTGCACTACCAGCACAGATGACCCAGACAGTGCTGCTGCTGTTTCAGGAGTTAAAGAGGGCTCAGCACATTTGCAGCAATTTCCATCCTGAAATTTATCGTGAATCGTGCCTCACTACCCATGCACTTTACTGATGACAAGTTTACTTGAAGTAGCACATAAAAATTACTGCTGAAGCACAAAGAACAGTTTAATTCCCTGGGCACGAGGTGTTAAGAAGGACTTGCATCCCCTTTCACTGTCATGATACTTCACTTTCATTTGGAACATGAGACATTATAGTCTCAAGAATTCCAGATGTAAAAGAACAATTAAAAAAATAACATGGCCTGTAAATCAAATGGCAACTGCAATTTCTGAACCTTTTTTTGTCAGTCAATAGAGACATCTATTCACTGTATTAATATGGTCACTTTGACAGCACAGATTGACACTGGAAAGCATCAAAGCACATAAATTCCTTGGGATTGGTTCCCAAAAGCACTAATGAATTTAGATGCTTCATTAGCCAAACCTCTTCACTGAATACATTTTCTATTCACAGAGAAATCTGATATGAGAAAATCCTATACAATTTAGTTCAGTCTTACAGGCAGACTTTGTCACGTTGGATGATTTCTGTATTCTGAGAGTGCATTTTTAGGATGGACCGGTTTTGGCAATGAGGTTGTTTTAAGTAATAAATCACAGTGCTGCTGTCCACACAGTTTTCCCTCTGTCCAGCTGCAATGTGTCCCAGTTCTCTGCAACCCCTCACTTGTATTGCTGCAAGAGTAAGTCACGGAGTTGAAATGATGAGTGAAAAGAATAACCTCTCCTGCTCTCTTTTCTCTCCCACCTCAAAGGAAAGGAGTGATGTGCAGTAACTTTTTGAGTAGAGTTGTTTCAGAAATCACATTTGTAAGTGCGAACTTTTGGTATAGAAACACAGCCAAGAGACTGACGAATCTGGCACAAAGACAACAACTGCAGCCACAAAAATTTTATACATTTATTTATCATGGAAGCTACTTTGATAATAAATTGCAACCAAAATTCGACTGCAAGAACCAAGAAGGCATAAGGGAAGACTCTGTCTGAGAAAAATCATGCACAGAATTTCAGATTTTCCATTTTTTTCCTTGGCAACTGTAACCTGCTTGTTTTCTTGAAGAAATCTGAAGTTCATGTAGAACAGCTTTCTCCTGAAGTTAGGATTTTTAATAACAAACATCAATTATCACCACTGATTAAAAGAATCAGAAAGACTGGTAAAACTGTTGTTGAGCCATATAACACATGCCTGCCCTACAGAAATGAAGATAACCTCTCAATGAGATTGGAACAAGTCTGGATCTAATATGATAGAGATTATACAGAAGTCATGACTTCATTTAATTGCTTGTTAGTTTATTCCATTGTATAGAACAAAAGCTTGCACTGGAATGGCAGTTTCCACTTTGTTATAAATTACATGAAAAAGCTTGTAAAAGCCAGACTGTAGTGTGTGAACTGCACAGAGGAAGACAAAGCTAATCACATCTGTCCCATGCTGGCAATGTGGCCCTTGGTGCCTAATTAGGGATTCTTAACAGAAATACAAGGCAAACCTAACACATTTTTTCAGTCTGAAAAGCCTGAGATTTAATAGGTTGGTTTTGCTTGTTCTTTACACAGAGAACAGAAGGAAGAGCAGCAAAATATTCATAACATTTGGTTTTCATTTTCCAGAAAAAATTAATCTGATCCTGAGGGTGCATGTATTCCCTAGGGAATCCTCGCTGCTTCCTTTCCTGTACCACCTTCTTGTGGCTGCACTTAGGAGGCCTTTCAAGATGCAAATCTCAGGACTCAGGTTTCAGACCATTTCAGAACTGACCAGTAAATTAATAGTGTTTATTCCTGAAATCTGCCAGATGTAGGGCAACATCCCCTGTGTCTTCCCAGCAATGGTGGCCCACTCTGGAAGAAAACTCTCTCTCTCCTGTCAAGTGGTAGGCAGCTCATGGTAAGGAGCTCAAGCAGCAGAAAATGAAGTTTTGTGGCTAAATTTACAGTGCATATAAGAAAGAACAGTCATGCATATTTCCAGGGTGTGTGCACTTCCATGGACCCTACAGTTCAAGAAAAGAATTCCCATTGTTCTCTTACCGTAATGGCTGCTTTAAAGTTTTCCAGTTCCTTCTCAGCATTCTCTTCTGTAAGGTTTCTCTCTCTCTCTGCTTGGTTAATTCTAGATTCCAATGTGTAACTATCATTTCTAAAGGCCAAGGAAAGTTGTACAAACACATTCTGTTTGGATTAAAAGAAGGCATTTTCCAATAAGTCTCACTGTGATGTAATTTCCAATAACACTTTGTGAATGAGGTATGTGTTTAACAAACTTTGGTGCTTAAATAAGTATTGAAACGGAAAAATGAAGATATTTTTGAAAATTATTTTGTTTCAAAAATCACTTCTATTTACTTCCACTAAATTATGACTAAAAGTGCTATTGCCTCTCTTCCTGAATGTTTTTTCTGGGAGCTCAGTAGAGCAGAGACACAGTGAAGGAAGTAGCCCAGCAGAAGCACCAGAATCACAATGGATCTGTTTTCTAGCTGGATTTCCTCCAAGGGTCCCCAAGGTTTTTAAACAGATAGTCTGTGCAGAGGAAGTCCAGGGATGAGCTCAGCATTAGCATTGTTTTACCTCAGGGATAAACACCTACCACTGAAGCCAGCGAAAGATTAAGTGCTAATATTTTTATTCTCTTGCACCCTGCTTTTAAAGATTGTTTCTTTCTTTACCAGACACATTATTTCTTAGGATTAATACCTTACAAAGCACAAGGCACCAACAGTTCCACGTATCTATGTGAATAAAGATCCTTTTCTTGACTGGTACATGAAAAAAAACAAACAATGAAACAGAGGCTGCAAGCTAAAGAGCAACCTGCAAACAAAATTATTGACTTCAACTGAGAAAGTAAGAATGATGTAAACTAACAGCAAAATATTATTAAAAACCACCCCAAACCTCCTAATGGACAATAAAAATGTAATTTAACATCTAATTTCTGCTCCTTTTTAATCTCAATTTTTTTACTACTTTAGTTATAATTTAATAATTTCTAAAATGAATGCTTATTTTATTATGAAAAATGCAAATACAAATGTTTTGCTTATTCCTTCTTTGTCGTTTTACAGTTCATGTTGCTCTTCTTTCACAAAGTTGTTATTTTGATTGAGCTCAAAATGTTTTTTCTGAGAAATATTTTTTTTGGGGGAAAAAGAAGCATCCTGTTACCTTGTTCTAATAACCACCCTTAGACTCACAGTAACCACTTAAAATTGAGGCATATGTCCAAAATAATTAGTTTAAGAACATACTTACCTCAACTTCTTTTTCAGTAAGTGGAGGGGAGCTAGAAATAAAAGCAAAAAAAATTCACATTTTGATGTGTTTTGTTTCTAAAACCAAAGCTATTCTAATACTTGATTGAAAAGAACAACAAAACGTATGTTTGAGGTTTATGAGTTTTCCACTACATTTCAGTATTGATTACAATCTGAACTTCTTCACCTCATGCATTCATTTATATAAAATATTGTATACAACAGTTCCTTCAAAACAAATGTTAAATATTTATTTCATCTGCACAGAGAACACTTATTGAGTGCTTCAAATGACATTGGGTGAATGTAGGAATTAGTTTTGGCCAGATATGTTTGGAATTGTTTTAAAGTCTTGCAAAGCCCAAATCAGTGCATTTGGGAGCGAGTCCTTCAATTACATTTCCCAAATAAACTCAATTTCCCTGAAAAATTGTCACCTGCAGAAAAATTGCAGAATTCTTACCTGCCCAAATTCTACCACTGGTAAGCATTACCTGTGCTGATTATTTTTCAGGGGGAGAGAAACACTAATGCTTTCAACGTGAATTTGTATCTGCAGCAGCAATCCTGGCAGCCAGGGGTGGAAAAATCTGTGCAAAAATCTACTTGTAACACTGAAATTTAGGTTTCAGACTTTTTATGCCGAGTTTACAAACTGAATTTAAAATTTGGCCGGAAGTCGGTGCGCTCTTCAAAATTTGTCAGACAAATTTAAGATGCAGCAATTCATCCCCTTGTATGGACCCCTGTGAGTGGAACCCCACAAAGGGAGTTCACTGGAACCCATCAGTGTTCCTCCTCCCGGATGATCTTTCCACTTCTAACGAGGTTTTACCTTCCTGGAAGCGATTTGTGCACTCGCAGTTTTCGCAGCAATACATCAGGAATGCTGGGCATGACGTCAGAGCTATTCTTTGTCTCTTCCTCTTCAGTGGGGGAAGGGAGAGGTGAAGGGCCTGAAGACATTTTCAGATTTAAAAAAAACATTCTGTTATTTGAAAAGTCATGCATTAACCATTAATAGTCAGCATCTCAGAGGCAAATAGGACCTCTTGGCTTAACTGTGGCCTTTTTAAAGCAGTGAGGCTTCCACCCAACTCTACTGGGAGCAAAAGTGAACAAAAAGAAAAGGTCCATCCCTTCAAGCAGAATGTTACTTCTATTGCATGTGGTGATACGTCACCCATCCCTAAATACTGCTAGATTCCCTGTCTTCCTCTTGAGCAGTGACAAGAAAAGCAATCTGCAAAACTGTCATTGAAAAACTGAAGTCATATGTGCTCTGATGGTCTCTAATGCACTGAAAAATAAGTTTTGTATAAGCATTTTTCCTAGAATTCAAACTGAACCCAGATTTAATACTTGAACTTCTAACCTAACATTTTGCATTTGTGCTTTAGATCACTTTTGGAATATTTTGGCTGAGATTCTGTAGGACAGTACTGTCATTTTCTGAGGCTTTAAAGGCCACCTACCAAGATGAAGTCCAGTGTAATGTACTATCCTAGAGATTTCGTGCACCATTTATGGTAGTGAATTACAACATGCACTTGTCTCACTGCATGTTCATTGAATAAGGACAGAAAGGTTGTCCTTACTTTCTCTACTTCTGTCACTTTCAAAAGGACCAAGATATGGCTCAAACTTTTTTTTTTTTTTTAAATTCATATCACTTAGCTTTTGTATTTTAATTTTCTTTAATTTCATATATAATAATTCCCTTCTCTCCTCCTATCTTACCAGAACTTAACGAAGTACCTTCCTATAGCAAAGGCAGGTGCCCCAGTCTGGATCTCAGACTTGGGAAGGAAACTTTTCATTAGGTGTAACAAAATATTCTTAGACTAGCAAAACAAATAGTGTGAAAAAGCTCAAAGGTTGTAAATGTGGAGAGCATTAACATGAAGCCAGAACATAATGGGAGATTCTTTCCAGCTACATTTCAGTTATGTGCATTTCCTTTACATTAAAAAATTCCAGTATTCCCTTAAGAACAGCCATGTGCTTCCCCATGGAATCCGGCCTGACACCACAATGTCTCCAGTGTAATATATTCCACTCCTGGAGATGCAAAGGTGTGTCTACTCAGATGACAACAATAACTTGTCATTGGGAGAAAACGTGATAGAGGCAGTATATTGGATTAATAACAGTAATAATGAAGTATCTGGCTATTTCCTCTTGTTTAAGCAAAATTACTACTCCAGCTAAAAAGCACAAGGTGGCTTTTATGACAATGTAAGGAAGTCTCCCTAACAAATGAACTAAGGATTTGACCCCTCGCTTGTTTTCCCCACTGAGGACAAAGAGTTGACCCTTAATGTTCTGGCTATCATTTAGATAAGTTACTGGACTCTGAAGAACTTGTGATGCTCATGAGATCTTGGCTGGAGAGCTGGATAAAAGAATGCTTAGCTTTTCATAATGTTTTTCTCACAATTTTCAAACCTGAAAAAACCATGTAATGGGCTGGTAAAATGGGGGCAACTATTTTATACTTTCAAACAGAGCCTGGTAAATAATTTTCAGGAAATCACATATTAGCAGAGTGACAGGAATAATATTATCAACTCTAACAATCCAAAGCTATAATCCCTAAATAAAGAGGACAAGAAATGTCTTTTAATTTTGTTTCATTCAAACTGAAGAACGAGTCTGTTTCCAGAGGTAACATGAAATGCCTCAACCATCTCTCAGTGTAACAGAAACTTCAAGGCCTTATGAAATAGCTCCAAAGCAAATCTATGAACTAGCAAAATGATCAGTATTAAGAAAAATTGAAATTGTCTCTGGATCAAATTTTGGACAATCAGGTTCAGTTAATGTGGCCTCTAAAACACTCTGAACAAGTTCTGACTTTACTACTTTCAAATAAAAATTTTCGTTTGATAGCTCAGCACTATTGCTATTTAATTCTTCCACATGTTGAATTGTCCTCAGGTTTATATCTTTGCTCTTTATTTTTACCCTGAATCTTTTGAGATGCAACCTACAGGAATCAAATATCTTGTGCCTGTGTTAGTTTGGAAAAAAAATTTGGTGCCAGATTTCTTTTTCCTCGTTTATGTACAGCTTTAGACCTTTTCCTAAAAAACACTTTCCTTTATTTTTTCCTTAGAACTCGTAGAAATTAAGCTTTAAAAATCCCCCTTACACATAGGCATATTTTTCCAGTCCTTCAATCACATTTATGACTCTTTTGTGACCTTACTCTTTCTTATAGCATTGACATAGAAATGGGTACCAGAAGTGAAAATGCCATTTCCATCCCCTATTTATACTCCCAAGGATTAAATTCACCCTTCTGACCACAATATCTTGCAGAGGTCACATTCATTCAGTCCATCACTGCTGAACAGGTTTTACAGAAAGCCACTGAAACTCCAAGCAGTCCTCCAGCTGTTATGTCCAAAATAGCCTCAGTTTACATGTGCATCTTTTCACTCAGTTGTAATAAAATATCTGCAGTATCTTCTTGGCTCAGGTCATCAAGAAATTGAGGTAGTTCCATTACTGGTCTCTCTTAATTATCATTTATTACCTTTGTCTCTTCAACTACTATTGCAACTGAAGTAAAAGACTTCTCCTCCCACCCCCCCAATAGTCAGTTATAAGAATCAGTGTATAACAGACACTCCTTTCAGCTTTTATGATACTGCACCTTTTTCCTGTTCGGCTGCTTCACTAAGTTCAGGAAGTTTAAGTCCAACTAAATTTTGATTTCTCATCAAAATATGCTCCTGTTAAGAAAAATAGTAACATTTCTAAGTCACTGAACTAGAAATCTCAGTTTAAATATCCCTTCCATGTGAGCAGTGAATATAACATTTACTTTAGTTAATAAACATAATGGAGATTATTTATATTAACTTATAGTCAGGTATTACATAGCATGGATACACAGACATTCACACACACTTTAAAATATTGAATATTTCACATTTCATGCAGGCATTATTTAGAAAAAATCCTGGTCATGCTAACAGAGATTTGCAAAATGTGCCACTTACTCAAATAGAAATAGAGGTTTGAAAAAGAGAGTTTTAGTAATTGGGAGTGAAAGAAAGCAGTTTTGGACATAGCTCCAGTAACTACCAAGTATCCCAGAGAACAGAGAAAATTCAGAAAATCATAGATATGAGATTTGTCCACTTTGACTTTATTAAGACCAGAGCTTGGGATGCTACAGCTGCAAGTTAATGCTTCACTGTCACTGTGCTCTGTTCCTTCTCCTTACAGGCAGGGAAAAATGCTCTCCAGAATTAAACCTTGTGGTATTATTTCTCCTTTTATCATCTCTTGCATATTCTCATGTATTTTTTAAAATTCACAAACATCTGCTTTTGTTTATGAGTAGACCATTCCTACTGGAGGCAAAGTTCAAAGCTCACCTAACTGGAATTATATATCTATTATAATAATTTTTTTTATTCTAATTATTATATGTGCTTAACAGCTTCTAGGCTGTTCAGAATTAGAGAATCTTAGACTCATAGAATGGTTTGGTTTGGAAGGGACCTTAAAGATCACTGAGGTCAAAACCCCCTGCCCTGACCAGGGACACCTTCTACTGGGCCAAGTTGCTCAAAGCCCCATCCAACCTGTTCTTGAACAATTCCAGGGCTGGAGCATCCTCAGCTTCTCTGGGCAACCTGTTCCAGTGCCTCACCACCCTCACAGTGAAGACTTTCTTCCATAATTATATGGCTCAGGTGTCTCTACAATCAGAACTTGCAGTACATGCACGCTAAGAATATGTTTGTTGTATAAAGAGAAGATGAATAACTGAGCTGCCACTCCCAATACTACGAGAATGGATTAACCAAGATGCAGAATTTGAGGTCGTTGCTTGTCACCCCTGTGTTCATGTTAAAATATTGACTACTGGGGCTCAAAGAAAATATATTTCTGCTTTTTTCCTTAGGGTTTAATTCTTAACTTTGACTAACCATTTAGACAATTATTTAACAATGGATTAGTTCATAGATCCCGCAGTGTCCAAGTCTGTTCTTCTGAAATCTGACACATTTGCACCTCATTAGGATTAGGAACTGTGAGTCTGGACATTCTTTATGTGCCCTTGCTCTCAGAGACCCCCATTTTTACAGCTCTGGACACTCTGAGACATTTTCTGAGAATGTTCAATAAGCAAATAAATACCAAAACCACTTTCTGTCCCGTCAGACCTGCAAGTGTAATGGTATTGCAAAGGCTGGTATTCCCAAATGACAGGACTACTGCCTTCAGAAGGGAGAGTACCAACCAACACAGGACTCAAAAACACTCAGCTGAATAAAGTAAAAGGGAATTTTAAATCCTAATAAAGTTTACAAACAATATATGATACACAAAGCCCGTTTATAAGAGTACAGTAACTCCAAACTTCAGTAACAGATTTCTCCTTATGCAGAGGTCTCAGCCCACTCATACAGAAATCAAACAATTAGTCACTATACTGGGAGAACCTGTGGATCTGAGGACAGTTCTGAAGGAGCAGAAAAAGCACATCATAGTTTCTCTTTTAAAGAGAATGTTCCTTAGAAAGGAACTTCAGGACTAAAATTCTCTTCAGAAATCAAATTGGATCAATTTAGTCCCATGGATGTTTTACAAATGACACGATTGTTAATCAGTTGCTTTCTGTTTAGAGCTCATGTAAATGATGTAAAAAATGAGTTATCCTGTGTTTTAGACAAACCTTTCTGTCAGAATGAAAGCAATTAGTACATTCTTGACACCAGTATGACAATGTGCCAGAGCACATGCACAGGGCACACTGAAGATACCACAGTGCACTCGATGCATGTTGAAATAGAATAATTCCACGGGATCACTTACAGGTTACAACTGACTAAAGTTGTACAAGGAAAAACATGATACAATTCTGTATTGATTTTGCTGAAATTGTTTCCTATTATATCACTGTATGTATCTTGCAATGATAAAAACAATGTTAAGCAAGCTGAAAGTTTAGCAAGACATGAAAACAACTTTAAAACAGGATATAAGTGGTTAGGACTCACCTCTCTGAGCTTTGTTAACTTCTGCATTCGAACTGGTTGAACTTGGATTTGAAGGTCTTTGAAGGCTTTTAACTGATTGCTGGGTTTATTGCCAGCAAAGCTTTTATCTTCCTCAGATGGTAATTTTGAAGGTGTTTTCTCCTTCTGCCCAGGCTCCAAGCTGTCCCATGACACAGCCCGTAGTAGAGGAGGACGCAGTCCACACAGTTTGAATTCCGGTTTACCTGAAACTTTATGGTCCCTCATTTCTGGAACAGGCATTTTTAGCTTGGAGTCCATATTTCCTATCCCTGCTCCTGGTAGATGGGTTCTGAAAGGAACATCATTTTCTTTTCCTTTCTTGAGGAATGATTTTCCAAGTTCATTTTCACAAACGTTCATGCAAGGATTAAGAGACATTCTACCACCATCACCACCTGAAGGGGAGCATTTAGGTAAAGTATCCATATGTTTATGTGGATCAAAGTTTTCTTTTTGGTCAGACAGCTTCTCTTTGGAGTTTTCAAAACCAGCAGAACGAGGAACCAACCTTCCCTGAGAAATCTTTCTTTGATCATTCTGCCTTCGATCAGTTAATCCTTTTGCAGCATTCTGAAAGCAGAGGTACACATATAAAACAAAGAAACTAGTCCAGATTCCTCTGTTCTCCTGCCCAAGGACAGATTTTTACTGTAAAAAGCCATTTCCTTTTCAGTGACATTTGCTTTTAAACATGTGCTGTTGACAAAAGAAATATTTTTTTTTTTTAAAAGGCCCTTCAAAATACTGAATTGGGAATCTCCTCTCTGAACTTTTGAGTTAACCTCTCCCTTCCCAGAGTCCATTATAGCACTGCTCACACAGCCAAGCTCCTCATCATTTTAATGCAAGGTTTGCCTGAACACACACCTTTAACCTGTATCTCACGGCACTGTTACTTTCTTTTGTCTCTTATCTTCTAGTCCCTCAGCTCCCAAGGGAAAAGAAAACCCATGGGCTTGTACACCAAATTAAAGCACATGTTGAAATTTCTCTCCTCTTTCTTTGTGTGCAGTACCACAGATGATAATTTGGTTGCAATCTTTACAGGAGAAGAATTTTTGCCTATACCTTGGCTCCTTTGGTACAGAATCTGTATTTTATTTAAGGGTCCCTGTGTCAGCAATTTAAGGCCACCAACATACAATCTAACCGTGGGCTCTGCCTCAGATATGTTGCTGCTCCTCTCCTTCAAGGTTACTGCTCCAAAACTCTGCTGCCATAGTGGGTTTTGTGAGTGTGGTCTATTCCACACACAGAGAAACTTCTTTAATGGGCCAACCAATATCACCTAAAACAAATTAGGAAACATTCATATAAACTTCTCCACTGATAGTTGTGTGGAGCAGTAACATCCCGCCAGTGGTGAGGAACACAAGTCTCAGTAACCTCTTGCACTGCCCCAGAGGTGTCTAGAAGAGGTTGCCTGTCTGAAGCACTGGCACACACCCAAGTGGCTATGGCAGATATTTTTACTACACTTATAAAGTCATTTAGTGCATTGATATTAATTGAGCTAGCTCAGGGTGCATGATAGGATGTAAAGACCATCTGGAGGCCCATTGTCCTCCGCCACATTTGCAGGTGCTTCACACTTTCCTAGAGCAGTGTAATTTTCTTTTCGCTCAGTGAACAGTTTTTCAGCATCTTTAGTCACAGAAACAAGTCATATGTGTGCTAAGACACAACCAGCAGACTTTGTTCAGCTCTTCATGTGAAACACTCACCTCTGCAGTTTGCCTGTCATCCTCTTTCACAGTTCTGTTATTCTAGCAAAAAAAGGGAAGAAAGAATTGCCTTACAGGGTTATCTTTCACATCTATGCTGCAGATGTTAGATATAGATATTAATGGATGAACTTTGAATCTCTTAATTTTTACTTTGCTTGTCACATTTAGTTATGAAATAAATTTAGGGATTAGTTTTTTTTTCATAGATTACGATTGTATTGGATCTTCTTCTATTTTCTACACTTAACAGATCTCTATGATCTTTCAGCACTCGTTACCTCATGGATTTTTGTCTTCAGAGTAAACATTTATTAGTCCCTCGCTCTGCAGAAAAAAACATATCAACAATCCAATCTTGGTGTATATAAACCAGTATTCCAAACATCCCATTTTCCTTGGGGACTAAAAGGGCAGTACATACTAATATAGTACTGTAAAAACCAGGTTACTGCACAGACTATTCAGCTCTTACCTGCCCTGGAGATACAGATTCAATACTAGTGGCTGTGCAAGCATCAGACCCTGGAAAGATACACACATAATTAGGGCATATCCTGATATTTTGCTCAAAGTTTTTACTTCTATAGCATTGGCAGCACATACGTGCACAGTTCCCCTTAATATAGAAAGGAAAAAAATTAAATGTCAAAAAAACTAATTAAAAGGAAAAGAATATTCAAAAATATAGAAGTGAAAGATAATTAAAGCTTCTTAAAATTCCATTATTGAAAAGTTCAAAAAAGTAGAATGTGTAACCTTGCAGCACCACAGGAATAAAAATATAATAAAATATATATGTAAAACTATATTTTATATACATGTATGGGCTTTATAATATTCAAGAGTACAGACTTAAATCTACTCCTGACTTCTCCTCGAGAAAGATTTTAAAATATTTTTTGTGAGCTTTTATAAGTTAGAGTTTGAACCTGAAAATGGTTGGACTTGTTGATCTTAGGGGTCTTTTCCACCCTTACCTATTCTATGATCATTTTACCTGATGGAACTGGAAGAGTGAGAGAGTTGCTCCGAGATGCTACTGGTGAAACTTTAGGACTAAGAGTAGGGGAAACTGCTTCATTAGAAAAAAGACAAAAACAAACAAACAAAAAAAAGGGTAATTTTACTTTCTAGGCTTGTAGCTTCTGATTTTTTAAAATTCAGAGAAGATTTAAGCATGAATATCATAGTCATCAGCCATGTGTTTTTCCAGAACCTGACAAGTAATTTTAAGTAAATTAGGAATTCTAAGTAGGTTTTATATCTTATACCTGCCAAAAACTAATCCTATTTTGTTGATACACAGAATCCTTGTTCTCCTCAGTTTTCTGATACTGTAAGCACTGCAGAGAAATAGCATAAAACAGGGTTCAGGTGGAATTTAGGAAAAAAGGAAAAGAAAATTTAATTCTAGTAAGTGTAGCTGTGGGGGGTTTTTTTTCCCTCCAGAAACTGTCAAGCGAATTTTAAGACAAAAAACTTTGTTTGAACTGGCTTTTCAAAGCTAAATGAAAGTCCTATTTCATGGTAAAATGGCATTTTGTTCCAGTTTTCAAACACTTCATATAAGGGGAAAAGTAATTTCAGTTGACATTCTAGAACAAAACATTTTATTCTGCTGTTTTAAAAGTATGATCTGGTTCATTTAGCTTAGTTTATGACTATGTTCAGAACAAGAGTCTGTAATTATGTCTGGGGTAATGTTTTATCAGCAGTATGAATCATTAAAATTTCATTTAATGTACAATAGGAGCTTTAGGAAGAAAATACCCACAAACAATAATTTGGACCATTTTTTAGATTTCAGTAAAAGTACCTCCTGCTCTCTTGTTCCAGTGTTTGCAGTGTGACATTCAGGCACTTAAAAACTTCACATTTCCCACTGACACATATGAACACCGGGATTGGTCATTTCATATGGAATCGTGAGAGGGGCAGAGGGATTCTGACCATCAAATTACCAAAGCGCATGTAAACAGTAGCAGTGTAGTTGCTTGTTTGATGCACTTGTTTGAAGTAGAATATATAATCCTGTTTCCACAATCTGCACCTACCTGTGGGTGACTCTGGCAGGCTGCTCCTCGACTTTCTGCCTCTGCGCATTAGAAACCTCTCACTCACTTTCTTTGCCTCTTCTAGTAGCTCAAGGTTCTTCTTTTTGTCTTCCTCTGATATCTTGACATCTGGTAGCTGATCATTTACCAGGTCAATCACGTGCCCGCTGTTGTCTGTGTAGGAAATGTCAGAATTGGAGCTGTACTTCCAGTGTCCAGGTATATTGTGGCACATCAGAGTAACAAATACAAAACACACCTATAAATTTAACTTTGTGCTTGCATTTAACAAACATGAATGTCTGCTCATTTTTAATGTCATATTCTCAAGTTCAGAGCAAGTCCTCCAAAACACAGATAGCCCACTAAGTGCCTATGATCAAAGATGCTCTGATATGGGGAACTGGCTTTTTTTCAGCAGTGTCCCCAATACACTTGTTCTAATTTCTAAGTAGAAGTGCCATTAGATCCATCTCAGCCAACAGTCATGGCATTTCTGTTGAAGACTGAGGTTTTTCCTGGAATTTGTATGTTCAGATTTTCAAGGCTAAGATCCCACAAATTCACCTAGCAAAGATTTATGCCCACTAGTTTTAACAAACAGGTGATTAAATGAAATAATCTATAACTAAAGTGCAGAGTTTGCAAGTATAGAGATTTTATTCTATGCAGACAGAAGAGCTTTTCCCAAAAATGCAGAAGCAACAGTAAAGCTGCAGCTGGCAAAGCTGCAGGCATGAGCTGAGCAGCTAAAGCCTAGGAATCATAAAGCTATTCCAAAAAGCAAATCAATCTCTACTGTGTGGTGGACCTGCAAGAATTTTCCAAAGGAAAATTCCCAATAGAATACTCATTAGAATACTCAAGGGTTAAAGAGGGTCCACACTTATGCTGATGTTAGAGAAGTGACCCAGGAGGTGTACAGACCACAAACCGAAGGCCACTGCCTTACACTCAGGCCTTTAGATTAATGCATTGTTTTCTAAACAATCTTAATTAGTTGTAGAATGAACCCATTAATCCCTGGCTTCCAGATTGTTTGAAAACACTAAACTCTGAGCATCAATTTTTACAATCCTCCAGGCTATGTTGGAGCAAAGGTGGCAGTCAGTTGTCAGAAAGGCAACTGTGTAAGTTGGTATAAATGGCTTTTACAAACATCTAAATAACAGCTTGGATGGCGGGGGAGGGGGGGGAAGTCATCAGGTAATACAAGAAAAATTTTTTAAAATTTGACAAGAGCCATTGCAGAACCACCAGTTTTCAGAAAAACTACAGACATGAGTAAGGAACAAAAAATCGAAGGGTTTTGGTTTGTGGGTGAGGGGTTGTTTCTTTTGTTGGTTTTTGGTTGATTTTTTGGGGGGAAGGGAAAGGTGCTTTGGCTTTAATGTCCTTAAATTTACACCAATTGCAAGGCTGTCAAAAATCATGCCCACAGAGTGAATATTCTTAAAGCAACCTATTTTCAGTGAAATATCTGTTTTGGTTTGAACTAAGATTTGTGGCTCAGAATTTTGAGAAACAGCCCTTCCATGACACTTTCCCTGTGCCAGCAAAAGAGAAGATTTGCAAGACATGGTAATAATTTCTACCTTCCTTGAGCAAGTAAGTTCAAAAGTAACAAGCCCAATATTACTGAATAGTAGTCTCTATTCAACAAGAATTTAAAGCAGACATTCTAAAAATGTTAAGCTAATGCAGCAATCTAAAACTTTATGTGAGTAACAATACACATATTTCCCTGAGTCACTCTGCATGCAATTCCCTAACAAAATTCAACATGCCAGCAGTATTCCCTGTGCATGCATTACACAGTGTGCACAAGTTAAAACTGTAGTCAGTGCAGTCAGACTTCATAATTAGGTCTTTATTGCATGTCACATTTTCTGAGGAAACTTCCTAGCTCAAATGAGTGATCACTTCTTACCAACAGAAGTCAAGGAACTTGTAGAATTCCTATTGGCACGGTTAGAATGTCTCCTGTGAGGACTACGAGACCTAGAGAGAAGAATTTTAAAAAAAAAAAAGGTCCTAATTATCTACAAAAATTTAACACTAAAAAGAAAGCACTTTGATTAAAAAGAATGAAGACAAAAAGCATTTGTTGAAGTTCCTCTCATTTCCAAACAACTGGAAAATGGAGAAGATTGAAGAATGAAGGAAAATTGCAGAAATCGCTCTCACATACGAGTTCTGAAATTTGCTAACAACCTGTGAGTTTAGATTTCTCAGAAAAATCCTATATCTCTTTAGACCATCATCATGACTGAAAACTCATGTAAATGTGGTACATAGTGAAAAAAAATTTAGTCTTTGTAAATTATTACTGCTTCTTAAACTAAGTTTTAAGGCTGAAATAATTCCGTAGGCTCCCACACTGACACTCCCATATAGAGGCACATGCAAACCAGGTGAAAGTCTCTAATGACTGCAGAAATTTCAACGCTGATCTGGTAAATAATTTTGCTTTTAAAGGGATGCATTGCAGTTCTGACTCTAAAATGATCTTGAGGTTTGGTGAAGTACAAGCAAATTATAGATTTACAATCAATACTTTCCAATTCAGTGTTTTGCCCTGTATTTTAAGTCTAATGACAGGTCAATAAATTAAAAAAAGACAAGGTCAGGAAGTATGCTTTATCAGAATAGTGGAAATAACCTTAATTCAACTCAAAACTGAATTGAAGTTTTCGACTTCAAACAGAATTATTATTTCCATTCAACAGCTTACTTTCCCATATACTTCACCTCAAGGTGGTATTCTTGTCCCATCCATGTGGATCCAAATATCTGCTTCAAAACTCATTGTATTAAATTATTAAATCTATATTAAATCTGTATTCAAGACATTTAAGTTGTCCAACTCAGTGAGTCAGGTTGGGAGGCTCTATGCAAGTTTAATCTTTTAGTATCAATTATATTGCTGTTCTTCCACCCAGCATCCCAAACACCATCATCAAAATGCTAAGATAACATGAGCAAATCACAAATGGAGACATAGTAACACTACTTTCATACAATATACATTTCAAAGCAGTATTTTAGAAACACAGCACCTGGAATTACTGTACAATTTATGCATAGGTGTATTATACAGTACCTGTTAACCAGATTTTTATCAATTTCTGCATCTGGTGTAAGAGCATTCTCTGGAAGAACAATAGAAGGGGTGCTGCATGTTGTCCCTCCAACTGCAGTGTCCTGCATGGTTTGTGACAAACACAAAAATGTAGTTGAACAGAAATTCAAACCACTGTATGTTGATGCTCTATGTGAAAAATAATGTCCATTGCTCAATTTGGCTAAAAGAGAAAATGACTGAACTAAGAGAGAATTAGCTCTAGTTAGATAAGACAAATGTGATCTACAGACCTACACTTAAATTACTAAAAAGAGATGAAGACGACCTGGAATATCAGTTTTCTTTGAAAAGT